CGGAACCAAAGGAAAACCAGCTATGGCTCATCGTAATCTTAAATCGAAGAATATCCTTGTCAAAACCAATGGTGGTTGCGTAATTGCCGATTTTGCATTAGCAGCTACTCAAGATCGTCTCATAGCAGACAGAGTTGACTTACGACAAGGCACAAAACGCTACATGAGTCCGGAAATTCTTGAGCAAACGTTAGTTAATTGCTTTCTTTATGTGAAAATAAGTTGGTTGAATTTCAATGGTACTTATTTTACATTTCTAGGGTAAACGTCGAGTGTCTAGAGAGCTTTAAACGAGCTGATATCTACAGTTTAGGATTGATACTATGGGAAGTCTGTCGCAGATGCATAAGTAACGGCGTAGCCTTAGAATATGCAATGCCGTACAGTGAATGGTTACCAAACAGTAATCAAGAACCCTCCATAGAAGAAATGCGTAAATTGGTCTCATTTGACCAGCGAAGGCCGTCTCTTCCTAATAGGTCACATTCTGACCCGGTAAATTTTTTCTTACTTTTTTTATTACTTTTATCAAAATAAAACAATTAGATCAAGTTTGAATTTATCATTTATTACATCAGTATGAATAATGGAGTTGAATACTACTTTTGCAGACATTGGCTGGAATGGGAAAATTAATGCGAGAATGTTGGCATGGGAAACCAGCGGCCAGACTACCCATACTTAGAGTAAAGAAGACACTTGTTAAATTAGCAGCTAGTGATTCACGTGTTCATTTACCCCTTGACTGACCAGCGTTCATCTTACCTCTCTTTCATTCATCTATTTATTACTGCAGTTGCTACACCAACTTGTCATATATACACACACACACAAACACACGCACACATACGTACGTACGTACGCACGTATGTATGTATATATGTATGTATGTATGTATGTACGTACGTACGTATGTATGTATGTACATATGTATGTATGTATATTTGATCATCACATTCATGCATTATCAGATTGTTATATCATAAAGATAAAAAATATCGTATATTGACATATCCAAGTAACGATGGTAATAAGTTTGTTAACGTTTGGCATATGGATTTTATTGCTTTTTGTTCCACATTACTGTTATCTCATTCTGGAACAATAATAATAGCATTAAGTATATAATTTCATAACGTTGATTAAATCAGATAAAAAAATACTGTTGATTCAATAGTAAAGAAATTAGGTATTTTAATTATTCAAAATTATTTGTTAAAAGAATAGTTGTAAAGAGAATATAAATATTTTTCCTAATTTACTAAATTGTGAAAAAGCGAATAATATAGCAATATAATTTTTCTAATTGAGATTAATTTTAGTGATCAATATTTTCATTTAATGTAACAGACAGTTAACTAAGGCCCAGTTCAATTGCAACTTATTTCTCATCTCTTCAATTCTTGAATTGAAAAAAAAACGAATCAGTTAAACTTTAATTAAGAATCTAATTTTGAATTGTGGAACTGAGCTTAGAAGAAATTATAAAATCATTTTGAACATTTTTCTATGACTCGGTTTAGATTA